ATTGCAATGCTGGTCAGAAGATCCCTTACCCCTCCCCCCAAAACAAAAGAGCCTCCCACTGCCCCCTAGTAAAAGCAATTCCCCTGGAAAACATTGTGTTGTATTTTCAGGCTCCCTGGTTTCAAGAATGAGGTGCCTTTGAAACTTTCATTTGTACCAAAAGGAACCACATATTCAGAATGGATCTTGAAGTAAGGCATCCAAGTACAGAAAAATCAATGCTGCACTTGTTTTCGTTCATTGGTCTTGGTTACCTGGTTTGGACTTGCTTTAGAACGGGGCCCTAATGCGACCGGTGTTAAACCGGGCGGGACATTCCTGTAGCTTACAAATGGTTCAGTGACGGATTTCGGGCTTTGCAAAACAAGTTTCTATTTCAAGATACTATTACTAGGGGGGGTCCAAGCGGTGAAGGCGTGGGTCGAAACCAGTCGTGCATGCTTGGACACTGCAATCGCTGCAGAGCCTGGACTTGACCGACCACATCTTCAACGCACTCTTACACCTTTTCAGTGTGGCAGTAGTCCTTTGGTCTGAAGGTCATCTTCTTGGCAGGCGACACCCCAAAACTCCCTGCAACCGCGCGGCTCCGGCTCCGGCGACTGCAGGAAGGCCAGCATCTGCGGCCGCCGCAGCAGTGGGGAGCCCAGGAGCTTCTCGCCTTCGGGGTGAAACCGACGCAAGGCCCCAGTTGGGTTTGTTCTAGGGGTACCGGGGTACCTTCCAATTCCATTCTTTCAAGGCATCCTTCCTTCTAGAAAATCGCCCAAAACCCTGGGGAAAAAAACAGCTGGTTTTTGAGAAGAGCGATGGTTGAAAAGAATGGGGAATCAACGGAGCGGGGCCAAAATGGTGGCTTTCTGGCTTGCCTTTAAGCCAGTCTGCTGGTGCTCAATGCTAAACTTGTAGGTATACCAGCTTGCTCCGGGGAGCCAACTCCGATGATCCAATGCATACGCATATGTGCAATCGATGTACGGACTCAGAATCTCAAAGGCACTCAAGGACAACATGTCTATAGAGCTGAATGCAGACCTTTTGCTGAGGATAAGCTAGAGGCGGAACAGGGACCGATTTATCTTTGTTGGCTTTGACCCACTGCCCGTGGGTGCCGAGGATCTGATGCTTCAAAGTTGCAAAGAAGCCAAACAAGCACCAGCTCTGGGCAAGCAAAAACTCTGAAGCTCTGAACCAGTTGCTCCGCGACTGATGTGAAAGGACAGCCAGTAACCAAAAAGGCAGCAAGACAGCCTCCAGTCAAAAGCGGCTGTGAGCCGGCTGTGCGCGCTTACACATCTAAAGTGGACTAGTGTTGGGTGCATCCATTCGGCGCCTTGAAGCAACTCCCCGATTGAGATACGCGAAGCATGCCTAGTGGCTACAGAAAGCAAAATAAATGTATTTTTCTCGGCAAGTTGTTTCAAGTCCTAAAGGCAACACCGCCAAAACAAAGCTCGGGAGGTATTTGGTACTATGCTCTGCATACTGATTCACCAAACAAATTGGAACCGAGTAAGGAACCTTCATGGGTCTGCTCGTGAACACTGAACTCCCCCCCCTTTGCAAGACAAGCCAACCCGCCACACCCCTTTAGACCTGAGCGTCCCAATAGCCCGAGAGTGGGGAATGAGAATTGAGAGATCAACGGCATGTTATGCCTCCAAAGGCCGCAACTCCTCCACTCACTCAGTTGTACAACAAGAAATAACAACCGTGGAAACCATATTAGTTAGACCCAGGGTTGATACGCCCCTAGTACATGCATAGGGGTGCCCCCACTTGAAACGAGCTGGTTGATTAATCCCGGATCTATTATATATATATATATATACACAAGTTGCTTGCTAGCTCTCAGTCGGCCCCGAATCCCCTGAGAGCCAAGTCAGTCAGCTGCGAGGCGCTGTTCATCGCCCCTCCGATCAAGCACAAAGCCGCCAGCGCCAGAATGGAAGCACGCGCAGTGCGGGATCCCGACCAACCGGCGTCCATGGCACATTGGCCATGGCAAACTCCCGTTGCAACGAAGGCTGAATTGGGCGCTGGTTTAAACCAATGTTGCCCAATCCTGAAACCACGCAAGGCCTCGTTCCGCGTTCTTTCTAGCGACTCCCTGAAGCACAAGCCAATAAGCTTGATTGGGGCACCCTTGTATGTCTTCAGTTGGCGATGTGTGCGTCAAAACACATCAGAAGCAATTCAACCTGAGCTTCTTTCTGACGTGGCAATCCTTCCGTATGCTACTTGGTCGAACGAACCCACCATGCCGGTTGACAGTATCTGATTTTGCTGTAGGGAGCGGGATGCAAAGGCGAGCCTGCCAGCGCAATACCATGCTCAAGGGACAATCGGCTGGCTTGGCCTATGGGAAAGCCTGCCTCGCGATTTTTCTGGTTTCATGTTGGTTCCCTGAATCTCAAGTCCTGACTTTGAGACGCCATGTTTCGCGGCTTCCGGCATGTCCTTGTGGTCTCGAATCATCTTCCAGCTTGCAAAGGTTGGATCGGTTCCGGCCCAAAACCAACCGGTTGCCACAAAGTAAGCTCACATATGGTCCGTCCCTCGTGCTCGACGGATTCTTTTCAGGGGCCTGGATCCAGCAATGGCAGTGGGCCCATGCATTTCTCTGACCGGCCAAGGAGTGTCAAAGTTGGCACTTTAGCGGAAAAAAACACATGGGTGTGTCCTCCTTTGGGCAATCAAAGGACGCCACCCCCGTCACCCCCCATTTTCTGGGTGCTCGATTCATTCAGCAGTTCCCCGAATCATGTGGCGCAAGTCCCAGAAGGGGCAAACTCCGTGGCCGGTTTCTCCGGGCCGGAGAAGTGAGCCAGCAGCTTTGAGGGAAACGAAAAAACAAAAACAAAGAGATGGTTCTGGCTCAAAAAGATGGTACCAAAACGGCACCTTGGCAAATAAAACAAAATATTAAAACCTGTGTAACCCTAGCTCTTTAATTTTGAGCCACACCCATATGTGCTCCCCTGGACAAAAAGCAAACTATGTAGCAGACTGCAACAACAACTCCTAGGTGGTATCAGATTCATAAAACTTGTGAAGGTGTGCGCCAGTTTGTTGTGCCGGGAGCAGTGTGAAAATGACTCTGCCGAAAACACGCCAAGCTCATACCACACCTGTCATTGCTGGAGAAAGAGGACATACTGCCAGTACCCATAGTCGAATCTCTACAAAACATTCCGAACTGCCCCCCACCCTCGCCCTGGCTTCTTGCAAGATTTGGATTGGAAAGATAGATTTGGCGAGCGGTAGCACCGATTTGGACCAAACAATTGCAAAGACACACCTCACGCCTGACTTGGCCCCAGCCCGGCTCACTGCTTTTGTTCTCGAAGGCAGACTGCTCGCATGCCAGAATGCAAGGCTCTCTCATGATTCTTCCTTGATATCATTATTCTCCTCCTTTGCTTCCACTTCTTCCTTCTTCTCTTCCTTTTTCTCCTCCTGCTTCTCTTCATGCTTCTCTTCATGCTTCTCTTCATGCTTCTCTTCCTGCTTCTCTTCCTGCTTCTCCTCTTGTTTCCTGTCGATCTCCACCTGAAGGCCACAGCATGGGCGCCAGGAAACCAGCTAAACCTCGCCAAGAGGCTTCAAAACTGAAACCCCAGCAGCCAATAACCTTCAAGAGACCCTGCGTATACGGACATTTATCGACACCCAGCAAAAAACCCTGCTATCCCAAACAGGGGTGAATGGGGGAACCCTCACGTCACGTCTTTTTCGAGAGACCCGCTACCAATACCACTGGATACGCCAACGGAATGCAAAGCCAAGTTCGCAGGGAACTGGTGGGCTATCTGGCGTGACACGATGGCTGGCCCCACAAGCCAGGAGGGCAACAAAAACCAACAGGCGCACTTGGTGCACCAGCGCATTGCCTGGACTAAGTTCCCCGATAAATAATCAAATGCAACCAACTGACAAACCCTCAGCAACTCAGAGTGCAAAAAGGCCTGCAACATTGCCGGGGACAACTAGAGTCTGACCAGTCTGTTCTGCCTATACACATCATTGCCACATCGGTGCCACCCACAACACCTGGCTCATGTCTGAGGAAATCGCTGTGTTTGATGCCTCCAACAGACTCTGTTCTCGGGGATAAGTTCAGCATCCAAGGATCGCAAGGACCTCCACGGAAGCGAGTGATTCGAGTGACCCTTGGCAACGCTAAGAATGATTGAAGGCATCATGAAGAAGGAAAGTACCCGAACACAACACACAATTCAAAGGACTGAAGTGTGCCGCTTCTACTCATGGTGGAGAATGCGGAATAATTTGCAATTGTTGCTGCATCTGGGTGGCTGTCAAAATTAAGTTTCCCCTTTTCCTTCCTTCAAAGGTAAGGCAGGACACGCGTGCAAAAATGAGCAAGGCTTGTGAACAGAACCTCCCAAGAAATCCCACTACACGCCGGTCCCTTTCAACGGCCATTCTGCTCGGGAGAGTTCAAAGGTGTCGCTTTATGGACCCAGAATGACCGACTTCCCTAGGACTGACCCTAAAAGACGGCGTATCAACTCAACCAACTGGGAAAGGACATCCAGATTGATTCCTCTAGATGCCATCTTTAAAAGGATCTAGAAGGGCTAACATTCAGAAACATGTCCCTCGCTTCGTTTTTTGCAGCGCTCAAGGGCGCTGACCACTCTTCTTCGGATACAGGGTTGTGGGAAATGACCACTTCTGTGATACAACAAAAAGGTCTTCCCAAAGACTAACCCCTCATATAAAAGGCGAGATTCCCTTGTATCACAGATGTGGGGATAAACCACTTAATCCCACAACCCTGTTCGGATACATCCCCGGCACCTGCCTGGACCAGAAAGGGCGTGCCCTGGTTCCCGGCGATGGTCGCCCAGCCGGTGGCCTTGTCGGACTGCGCCCGGCACCGGACCCTTCGCACGTTGGCGCCGTCCTCCTTCAAGGGGCCCTCCAAGACCTGAGCGGGCCCCGAAACCATGGACAGCCGCTTCCAGTTGGGATGTGGGTGTGGCTCAAAATTAAAGAGCCAGGGTTACGCAGGCTTTAGTGGTTGACTCCATTTACCAAGGTGCCATTTTGGTACATGTTTTTGGTGCCACAGCCATGTATGAAGCTTGGTGTGAATCCCTATGGCTGGGACAAGCCGCATGCCAACTCGTGCAAGGTTTTGGCCATCCATTATTGTCTTTTGCTCTGACCACGGTATTGGTTGCGATCCTGTCTGGAGACCCTTGCTAGCAAAACTAATAACCCTCTACAGCCTTGTGCAACCTATATCCAGGATATTATGAAACCATAGACGACGCTGAGGGCGCCAACGTCTGCATCTCGTCAGCGCCGACCAGTGACATGTGTCCAACGCAATAGAACACGCCAAAGCTCTTGGGCTAATTTTGCATATTTCCACCCGCAAGCACTTGCATGGAGTCCACAACAGCTCCTCTAACTCGTTCCAGTTAGCTTCCACTTCGAACTACACAACCAAGAACAAAAGCTGCAAACCTTGTTTGGTTGCCATCGCTGAAACAGGTTGCCGGCACTGGAAAACAATTCACTTTTGGCTGAGCTTAGGTCTGGGGGATCGGCAATTGCAGCACGGCACCGGGTTTTGGGCAACATCCACTTGTATTGGAATTCAAGATGGATTGCCACACTTTTCGGGGATCACCTTCAAACAGGTGGGGCCTGGCTACCAGCAGAAAGCTACACAACGCGTGGGAATCCGTGGCAACAACCCGGATTGGCTCCCACAACTCACAAGTGTTTTTTGTTTGACCAAAAACAACAACAAAACACAAACGACACAAACAAACACAGCACGAAACACATCAACAAGAAACACCAGACATGTTGAAACACACTCGCGCGGGGTCTCCCTGCAAACCAACCAGAAAAAGGGGGCCGAGTGGTGGACATTGGCTGGGGACTCATGCTCATCAACTTTTGCGGCTCCCAATTAAAACTCATAGCCCTCGCCCGATTTCTCTTTGCCTCCAAGATCTCGTCCACCTCCAGGCGTCTCACCGTCTTGGACTTGATGCTGATGTCCTGGGAGCTTCGATTCCGGCGCTCGTCCGGACGCGGACCGTGGCCCGGCCCCGCGGCAGGTGCAACAGAAAAGACACCAACACTTCAATTGCCATGAAATGATAACAGCTTCAAGAACACTAGCTCACAAGAAGACTTCAAGGCACAAACGTCGTGGCCCAAAACAGGACTACAACCTGATTACAATGAGCCGTTTTGCTGAAAACTAAAGATATATTGAACTGGCCAGCTGAGTTGACCGGCCAGCACAAGTCATTTGTTCAGGCCTGGGATGACGTGGCAAAGCAACCTGCCAATAAACATCTAAGTGTACCACGCCAGCAAATATGTCAACACCACAATAAAGCCAATGACTCTTCCAAATCATGTTTCACGCGTTCTCAGCTCGACTGCTCCGTTTTTCGGATTCACAACAGCATGGATTGGGAAATGGAACGGTCAGCTAGTGGCAAGGGTCTCAAAGATTGAGAAAGAACGTTTGTGGCACCTTAGGGGCCTTCGAATTTCGGGCAGTAAGACTACCGAACCCAACCTGAAACACCCAGCATCAGGAATGCCTCGAGCTTGTGTTGCTTGTTTGTGCTTGGACATGTTTGGCTTCCTTCTGCCGTCCTTGGAACTGGCGGCCCTGTTCTCGTCTGATGCTCTGCCCTCAACTACCTCGATTCATTGTCTCCAACGTCCGTCTGAAACCGAACAGAGAGGGGACAGGCTGGCCTCACACGTACACACGTACAAAAGCAAACAAACAACCACACAAAGACCAGAACACACACACACACAAACACAGAAACAAACACACAAAAAAACAGACACACAAACGCACACACACACACACACAAAGACACATACACAAACACAAACAAAACACACACAAAACCCCCACACACACAAGCACACACACAAACACACAACCACACACAAAAACACTGACACAGACAAACACACACACACACACAAACAAACAAGCAAGCAAGCAAGCAAGCAAGCAAGCAAACAAACACAAACACGCAAACACACAACACACAACACATGCACACACACAAACAAACAAGCAAACAAAGAAACAAACATAAAAACAAAAAAAGCACACGCATACACACCAACACACACACACACGCAGAAGCACAAGCACGCGCACAAATCACAACCGCACGCAAACACAAACAAACACAAGCACACACACACACACACACACGCACACACACACACGCACACACACACACACACAAACCCGCACACCCACAGACACACACACACACACACACACACACACACGCACGCACGCACGCACTCACGCACGCGCGCACGCACGCACGCACGCACGCACACGCACACACACACACACGCACTTACGCACCCACACACACACACACACACATTTACACGCACTCTATCGCACACACGCACGCCTGCACGCATGCACGCACGCACCTGACAGTGCCACCCCGAGACAGTATAAAACTCCTTTTTGGGAAAACACGCACACAAACACCAAACACGAAAAAGCCAAGCACACACAACCACAAAACACAACACATACACAAAACACACAGAAACACACACACCAAGCAGGCCACGCGCGTTGCTAAACAAATAACTCGAAAACTCGAAATGGGTTGGCAGGAAGTTTGCACTGGTGAGACCAAAGGTTTCATTGATCCCAGAAACTGACAGTTGCAGCGCTTCACAATCAGCATGCGCTGCACTAGAACATGTGTGGAGCAGTGGCGAATAGCAACAAAGCGTCAAGGCGTCCGACACCCAGCGAAGCCCCGCCACGCAGCGGAGGCCAGCAAGAACCGTGCCAGAACACTTACGTTTTACTCGGAGGTGACTTCTCTAGGCCCTTTGCCGATGGCCGCGTGTCCCGCACGACAGAATGAGAACAAGAAGGGGACGGCGCAGGACGAAAAAGTCAAGCACGCACAGCCACAAAACACACAACACATACACAAAACACACAAAAATACAGGTGCGCACGGGGGCAAGGGAGCATGGAGGCATGGGCATGCAGCGAGGCCTGTCCTCCGACAGCACCGTGCCTTTGACGCACTTGTAGTAGAGTCGGATAAGCTCCAGGAACCTGCAAAGTGTTCCGCGGTACCGCGCATTGCCGGAAGCGGGAACCCCAAAACCGTAAAGCTCTGCCATACCACGGAGCTATACACAAGAAGTGCCTTGTTGTATGAAAGGTAATTCATGCTTCAACTAGTTCAGAGTATCATGTCAATTGCTCCTTGCATTTTGCGTTGAACAATCCGACTGAAAGTGCGCTTGAGCGACTCCATGCAAGTGCGTAGTTGGCAAATTACTCTTTGGGCGGCGACTGTGGCAAAGGATGACCCTATTTGTACAAGAACCACAGCGAAGCCCTCCTCCACAGGTGAAGGGAGCTCACAACCCCTTCAAACCACGGTCAACATATGCGGCTTCACATAGGACAATTAGTGAGTCCCCTGACTTTGGTGGACTTTGCGTGAGCTCTCCGATTTGCCCCTCCCAAATTCCCCACAAACTACTGCTTGACCGAACCTCAGCCTCACGTCCTTCCTTCGCCCAACCCCAGGGCACACCGAAAATACGATTGTCAAATTCCGTTTCGTATATGTAGCCAGCCTCGAACGACCCCAGCGTGCCACTGAAGAACTGCGTTGCGGCAAGCAAACCCCTGACGCAATTTGTAAGTGTCTTTTCAGGGTACCCCTTTCACCTTGCAACCAACAAGAACAACGATGCAATGTTGCGGTGTCCAACTCCCGAATTTGACACATGCCCCTAAATATATGGGTCGGTCTCTGGCTTGAAAGGGAAACCAAACCTGGTACTCAAAGAACCTACAAAAAGGTGGGGTGGGGTGGGCAGCAAAAACCAGGTTTTGCACCTGCTACTCGTCGAAAACCAGGTTTTCGGTTGAAGAACCTGGTTTTGCTTCCTGAAACCCGTACAAAAACCGTACAAAACCCGTATAAAAGCAGTACACAACCCGTATTTCCAAATGCTTTTTGAAGCCCAGGTTTCTCCTCTGAAAAGCAGGTTATGTTTTGGAACCCGCTTTTTTGTAGGATTTCGGAGTAGCAGGAAAGCATACCCATTTTGAGAACGTGCAATGTTTGACCGAACTCCTTGCTTCCTATGCTTTCGGTCCGAGTTGCTCAGACTTCTGCAGACCATCTGCCGCGATCTCCGCCCACAAACGGTCCATTTGCTCAGTCTCCAGCGCCATGTCCTCCAGGCCTGACCGCGGGAGGCCCCCGAATTTTGCGACAAACCCATGTGAAGGGACTCCCCTTGTTTTCTGCCTTTGACCTCCTTTAAAAGTGAGCATTCTGGACCTGCTCAAATCAAAACGTGGAAGCCAATGGACGACAGCTAAACACGTTGAAATCACAATCCAACTCCTTACAGCTGTGCCGCCACCCACCCCAGCCTTTCACAAAGTCACAGAAGGACTCCTTTTCGACGGAGTCTGCACCGAAAGACTCGAAGAGCTCCTCCCCCGACTTCTTGGTCGTGGTCATGTGCGAGCGGATGGATGCCACAGCTCGGGCCCTCAACTGCTGAGCCTCCTCAGCGTGCTGAAAGCTGTGGCAAAACACCTAGGGGTGCCCTGAAGGGGGTTTACCATTTTGAGGAACCGCGTTGCTGAAGCCCCATGATGAGCTCATTCCCCAGTCTGCCAGAAGGACCATCATGACTTGAGGGGACACCAATACGGAAATACGCAGCATGCTCCACACATCACTGCGTTTGATCAGGGCTAAGCCAGGCTGTTGATTGCTTGAGCAATCCCCCTTGTGCTTCCCGTTGAAGGTGGCCAGGCTGTGGAAGTTTCACCAAAATTCTGTGCACTGCATCCCTTCCCAGCCTTCTGGACCTTCTCTTTGAAAGCATCGCGTGCAGCTTTGACCTGACCCAGCACTTGCTCCGTCTGCGTCTCCAGCTGGCGATGCTGCTCAACCAATCTACCTTGCGATTTCACCGCTTGGGTCTGCGGTATCTGGGTGTCAAAATAGGGGCCCCCCAAAATGAGTATGTTGTCCCGTTGGTTTCCCTTTCAACCAACCCCAAAGGGGCACCCTCAACACACCAAAGGTTCCATGTCAGTTTGTGGGAGCAGTAGGGATCGTTGCGCTTTTCGGCACCTGTCAAACATGTACATTGCATTGCGAGGTTTGGATTGGGCGTTCTTGTTTGCAAGTAAAGTTACGCCGGCCAATGCCAATGGGCCCTGGGCCGCATGTTGCATTCTAGGTCTGACTGCAAAATACAGATCCCTCGACCAATACTGATAGACTTTGCTATTCCCAGCTGTTTGTAGGTTTGACTGCATGGCAATGTGGTGTGCCCACAATGTCAACATCTTTGAGTTGCAGTCTCAATCGGTTTTGGACCATTTGATTCAGCTGGGCGTCCTTTCTGGGGTCAGTCCTGGATGCTCACCTATCACCAATAGGGCTTGAAACTCAATGCTCCAAAACCCGTACCAGGAGAGGCTCTTGAACCGACCAACAAAATCAAAAGACAACTCTCTCTTCAAACATGCATGTTAACAGAAAGTTCAAGCACAAATCCAGCCTGTCCAGGCAAACATGTTCTGTCCTAGGTCTGAATGATGGTTTTAATGGTGATATCTGCTTGAGCTCACATGCCCTACTACTGTGTTAAGCCCAAAACGTTCCCGAGCATGTGTCCTTTTCAGGCGTCACTCCACCAAAAGGAACTCACCTAAAATTGGCAGCCAAAAGTTTGCTTCAAAGCATCGAACATCGGGCAGGGACCCCCAAGGCGGCGGCATTTGAACCCGCCAGTTAAGCCTTTTCTTGGGGATTTCCCCTGGTGATCAGTTGTGCGTGACTCTGGTTCTTCTCTCCTGCAAATTTAGATCACACCCCCGAAAGGCTGCATTGCATCCAAAAGAGTTTCCTCGTTGGTTGAGGCTGCATGTCAATCTGCCAGGGGGCAACTGACATCTTCCACAGTTTGGCTTTTTCTACACATTGCCCCAACCACCCAAGACAAAACACTATGCGGCTTGCTTGATTTTCTTTGGCTGCACCCCCCAAGGTACACAAAAAATAGCATCTACAGACACTGCTTCATATTCCGTCAACCACCAAATCTAGATTCTGCGGAGGAAACTCCAGCGTCACTGTCCAGACTTGGGTTTTTCTATAGAAACTCTGGAATCAGAGCTCAAGTTCCATTGTCAAATGGGCATCGGTCAAAACCCCGTAGCCCCAGTGAACATCTTAATCCCCACTAAAATAGACAAGATGGGTGGTGAATTCACCTAAAACCCCAAAATGGGATCCCGTTTAACGGTTTTGAGCTCCATGGCCAAAGGTTCCGAATTTCTGCCGGGAGGCCAACCTCTCGCCTGGGTGAATTCACCTAAAACCCCAAAATGGGATCCCGTTTAACGGTTTTGAGCTCCATGGCCAAAGGTTCCGAATTTCTGCCGGGAGGCCAACCTCTCGCCTGAGCCTCTGCTCGGGGAAGTCTGCCAGCTCTTGCAGCCGCTGCAAAGAGCTCCCCAGCGCCGCCCGCACCTCGCGACGGAAACCGCCCGGAAAGCGACACAGGGAAGCCCCAAAAAGGTGGACGGGGACCTGACTTGTCAGTGACTTGTCCTGTGGGCAAAATGAGTCGGGATCCGTCCGAACTACTTGGGATCGGGCACGCCGGATGCGTCTCTCCCTGAACAAGTGAGCTGGATCCCCTTTCCATGGTCCAACCCACACACGAAACCCTAGCCTGTGTCATGTTAGTTCATGGAGAAAGTAGCGAGATGAACAAAACGGAGATGAACCAAAGCCCGAGAAATGCGCCAAGCCCATAGCAACGAAGATTGCGCTGTTCGCGCCTCTTGCACCTTCTCCTCCGCCTGTGCGTCCTCTGGGCTGAGCTCCAGCGTTCGCTTGGCCTCCTCCAGTGAGGCCGACACCTCCTCCGTCACCTGCTGCACCTGGCATTCACTCACCCGGCAGGACGATTGCCGCACCCCGGAGCGTGCATGCAAAAAAAGACACGTTTCTTCCCTAAAGGTATCTGTTCGTGCTGTTCCAGGCATCTTAGTGCTTGGTTCTTACTTTTGCTGCGGCAGCCGCGCTGTTTTCTCCTTCCTTCCCGCACCCACGCACCCACCCACTCACTCACTGACTCACTGCCTGACTCATGACTCGCTGACTCACTCACTGACTCCCTGATTCACTCCCTGACTCACTCCCTGACTCACTCCCTGACTCACTCCCTGACTAACTCCCTGACTTACTCCCTGACTCACTCCCTGACTCACTCCTTGACTCACACCGTGACTCACTCCCTGACTCACTCCCTGACTCACTCCCTGACTCACTCCCTGACGCACTCCCTCACTCACTGCCTGACTCACTGCCTGACTCACTGACTCACTGACTCACTGACTCACTCAGAATGACTCACTCAGAATGAATCACTCAGAACGACTCACTCAGAATGACTCACTCAGAATAACTAACTCAGAGTGACTCACTCAGTATGACTGACTCAGAGTGACTCACTCAGAATGACTGTCTCAGAGTGACTCACTCAGAGTGACTCCTGACTCACTCACTGACTCACTGACTGACTCACTCTCTCATCACTCTCACCTCACTCTCACCTCACTCTCACCTCACTCTCACCTCACTCTCACGTCACTCTCACCTCAACTCACTCTCACCTCACTCACAACTCACTCACAACTCACTCACTCCTCACTCACACCTCGCGCTCACACCTCGCGCTCACACCTCGCGCTCACACCTCGCTCTCTCACTCTCTCACTCTCTCACTCTCTCTGACTCTCTCTCACTCTCTCGCACTCTCTCTCACTCCCTCTCACTCCCTCTCAATCCCTCTCACTCCCTCTCACTCCCTCTCATTCCCTCTCACTCCCTCTCACTCCCTGTCACTCCCTGTCACTCCCTCTCACTCCTCTCTCTCACTCTCTCTCACTCTCTCTCACTCTGTCTTACTCTGTCTCTCTCACTCTCTCTCACTCTCTCTCACTCTCTTTCTCTCTCACTCTCTCTCCCTCTCTTTCTCTCTCTCACTCTCTCTGACTCTCTCTCACTCTCTCTCACTCTCTCACTCTCATCTTTCTCACTCTCACTCACTCTCACTCACTCTCACTCTCTCTCACTCTCTCTCACTCTCTCTCACTCTCTCTCACTCTCTTTCTCTCTCACTCTCTCTCCCTCTCTTTCTGTCTCTCACTCTCTCACTCTCATCTTTCTCACTCTCACTCACTCTCACTCACTCTCACTCACTCTCACTCCCTCTCTCACTCTCTCTCATCTCTCTCACTCTCATCTTTCTCACTTTCACTCACTCTCACTCTCACTCTCACTCTCACTCACACACTCTCACTCTCACACACTCACACACACACACACTCACACACTCACACACTCACCACACCCACCACACTCACCACACTCACCACACTGACTCACTGACTCACCACACTCACCACACTCACCACACTGACTCACTGACTCACTGACTCACTGGCTCACTGACACTCACCACACTCACCACACTGACTCACTGACTCACTGACTCACTGACTCACTGACTCACTGACTCACTGACTCACTGACTCACTGACTCACTGACTCACTCACTCACTGACTCACTCACTCACCCACCCACCCACTCACTCACTCACTCACTCACTCACCAGCTTGGGTTGCGGTCTGTTTGCTGACATGGCCAACACCTTCAACAAACTTACTCAGTGATCAATCTTAGCGAGTGCCTAATCGCTTGTCAGATGCCGGAAGAGAAAGGTATTGTGCCAGGGTATCGCTTCGATCTGAGCCCCGGATCGATTTCCATAGACTGCACCAAGAAGACTTTGAACATGACAAGTTCATTACTAATGTTAACCCCGGATGAATAAACCCCTGGTTGATTAATAGGGGGTGTCCCGTTTTAGTGGGGATTCATCACTTTTGGAGGGAACACCCCCCTAATAATGGGACGGGTTTATTAATCCTGGGTCAACATTATGAATCATGATACCTTTGCCCGCTGCCATACACATTCATATTCACAGCGTACCCCACATGCGTCTCATGGCTAATCGCGTGCTTTACCCCTCATTCCCCGTCCCTCTTACGAATTCTTGACATGCAACATGTGGAACTTCTAGGTTCACCGTTCCACCTCTTCTTCGCTCTTGAAACTGAGACCCTTCGTTTCCCGAAACGACAAAAACGAAAGCGCGGACTGCGCGCACCTCCGCGCGCTTTTGCTCGGCCAAGCGCTTCTGCTCCTCCTCCTTCTCGAGGCGCTGCCGGTGCTCTGCCTCGAACTTGGCGATGCCCACCTTCCGATGTGCGTTTCCCGCGCGGCTCCCGTCGGCTCCCGTCGGCGTTTTGGAGAGGGTCGCACAGGCCCGAAAGGAAGTTCTGCCTTTCCTGGCATGGACTCTTGTTGACTGTTTGCAGAGTCAAACCCCGAAAAACCACACTAAAGGGAAAGACCGAAAAGGGAACCAGTTTGGGGCGCGAAACCGGTATGGTGGAAACTCGGGGTTAGTTTGCAACCATTCTTTCAGGTACTCGTCTGGGTCTGCGGAGTCGCAGCTTATTTACCATGAGTGCCGTAATCATTCAAATGGGGTTGAGGGGGACTTTAACATCACAAGTCAAGAGAACAGTGTGGACGGGGTCACAAAAACTCCCCCTTACTCATAGGTGATTCGTGACGTGATGCAGATGTTGATGGCCACAAAACTAACAGAAGAACGATGGGACCTGAGTAGTGATCCCCCCGGATTGATCCAAACTTGGGCACTCCCATTGTTTCGCTCAAAGACCCTAAAAGACCCTCACCTTCCCCGCCCCCAGAAAACCCTAACAATATACAGTTCTAAATGACAACGCTACTGCGAATACTTTGTCCGACGCTACTTTCATTGCCGTAACACATTTCCAAAAAAGCAGCTATCCAGAAAGAGCATATTTATTATTGTGTACTCAAAGCACACACAAACACAATTTAAGGCTTGACAAGCTCAGAAATAGTATTGTTTTGCTTAAAAAACAAATATTATTCATGGCCCTCCCTAGCACTGGGCAACACAAACACGCAATTTCCTTCCTTTGACTTTATTGCAGTCCGAGTCCTATCGGCCGAAACAGGGACACCGGAGAGGACCAAAGAGCGGAATTAGAGGGCGGGGGCCAGGGGGACTCTCCGACACCTGGACGACCTTAAGGCAACCATTCTGTGGCTCAACGTTTGTCTCTCGCAGAACATGCAATGCCTGAGATTCGGAGTAAGCCGACGCCCGAGCACCCCATGCATATCTCGGTCAACTTCAAAAGGCACAAGGCGGGGCCTAGGGCTTTTGCTCAAAGCCCTCAAAGCAGCAATTGAAACGGATAGGAAGCCCTGTGAAATGGGCTCCGGTTGGGTCTGCCTATAGTTGATTCAGGCGAGCCCAGGCTTAGATAAATGCCCTTTTTGGCAAGACTTGAGTTTTCAAGCCCTTTTTGGCGCGGGAAAACACACTGCTTGGAAGTACTCGCATATCCAGCATACAAGCCTGGAAGCATTATTTGATACGAAGGCATCAGCAACCGGGCTTTTGTCTAAAGGCAACAGGTGAACGCAACGCGAAATTCCGCCAGGTCAATGGAGCAGTAAATCAACAGCACTCCGACACCCTTGGCTTTGTACCAGTAATCAAGTCCCACACAGCTCATAACTGTCATATCTCAGGGCCTTGTCTGCCTGAACTTTGAGGCTGTTCTCCTTGGCCCCCTTATGCTAAAGCGGTCCCAAAGGGCCCGATTCGGTCCCAATGTCGAAACGGGATGCTGCTCCGCCCATGGCCTTCTGCCTGAGCGGAAGAAACTTCTCGAAGTTGATTGGCTCCAGGACACGCATAATGTGATCCACCACCTGCTCAATGCTCGCAACGTGCTGGGTGCTTCCTAAAATCGCAGAGTCACTCTTAAAGGGAAGCAAACACAATCAGCACCTGAAGAAAGCTACTGGCCTGCAAGCCTTGCTCCTTTCCGCTCGTCTTCTTCAAGAACTAAGCAGCACAGAGCACATTTGTCGCTTCTTGCTTCGTGGTTGCAAGTGGTTGCTGAACCCACAGAAGGGGGCCCTCAAGCTCGCTGAGCAGTTTCCTGGCTCACCTTCAGCACACGTCCGACCGGTTTGGGTCGTTTTGCAGCCAAACGAAAATCAAGAGCGTTGTAAAGGGACTGGAAAACTGGAAGTGCCTACAACCTCCCTTCTTGGAATGAACGGCGCCAACAATGGGATCCGACCAATAGAAACAGAATGTTGGGCGGCTTTCCTCGCGCACTTCCTTTGGGGCTGACAGGATGCTTTTTTGTTTCTGATTTTATCTCCCCTCTAAGCAGCAACCCAAAAGCACTAGGCCAAAAGTGGAACGTATTAGGCCCGTTGTTGACAGTTGCTTGTACTTCCATTTCTTTGAGGTGCCATCCGACAAATGTGCACATTCAATACGTGTACCTACCAGAGTCGCCGCGGAACTCCCCAGTTTCATTCAGAAGCGACAACAACCTCCATTTGCTTAAGTCCCCTGGAACAAAAATATATTTCCAATAGTGATAGATTCCCTTTAAAACCAACAGTGGGAAAACAAACCAAAAAAAACATATTGATATATTTCCAGTATAGTGATAGATTCCCTTTGAAACCAACAGGGGGGGGGGGGAAACAAAGAAAAACATATTCTTACCCGAATCGAAAAAAGCCTCGAAGGCCGCAGGCCTCGGGCACCAGGTCGATCTGGAACTCCGCGAGGCCGAAGCTGAGCACCTCCGCGCGGCTCAGCTGGCCATCCTGGCAGCTCAAGTTGCTGCGAGTCGCAAAAAAGGAACTGGGGGCCAAAAGACCTAACGAACGAACGAATCCGGGTCTCTGAGCACTGAGTGCGCGACCAATTGGGGAAGTTTCGGGGTGGCTAAATCAACAAAGACCGAACAGAAACCACCTAACCAAAAAGCGAGTTCACCAAGAACAACCTAACAAATCAAGAGGGCGGCCGAGACCCATGGTTGGGGTTGCCCGTTACCAACCTTCATCTACCCTGGTTTTGATTGTGGCTTGAGTGGTGGTGAAGTTAAAGATGGCTCCTTGAACCCGCCCCCACCCACCTTTGCATTCTGAAGACTTAGATCCCCTACCATTGATATGGTCTACAAGCCACCGTCGGACTACTTTTGCACCATGGAAACTGATAAATTTGCGGCTGACGGGTTGCGCTTGTCTGGGGCGAATAAATCATATTCCAGGAGCCCTATAATATATTATGAACCTGGGGCTCGCAACCAAACATCACCGGTCTACGGAAGCACCAAGAACCGCACGGCGGTTACGCGAGCCGCGTTTCGTTCACCGCCTGGTCACTGTCGTGCTTGGAGAAGCACGCCTTCCAGGCTTGGTCCTGAAACTGCGAAATCTGAGCTGCGCAAGCGACTTACCCGCACAAAAACAACAACAACATGCAACCTGAAAGCCCCATTGTCCTCACACAAGACCCTTTCACGTTCCAAGCTTGGTTTTGGGAGGGTAGTTTGAAAGCCCCCGATTTGAATCATTTCATAAAACCGGCGTCTATGTCGCCAGCCCTGGCTGACTCGTCCAAAAAGGCTGAAGAGAACCAGCTGAACAACTTGCCCATTTGGAAACCGAGAAGGCACTGCAAGGGTTGGACAAAGATGCACCGAGGTCTCACTGTAGTTTCGTTCTGAGTTCAAAATCATGACTTCTTCTATGGATTGAAACGGCACCAGAAAACCAAAACCGTCACGCTTGCCAGGGGCTGAATGCTTCAGTACCTCGCTTGTGGCCTTGAAATCTAAGTCCACCATTGCCAGGTTCCGTCTCGCCGCTGCGTGGGCACATGTTGAACCCCACCCTGGGCTCCCTATTGCTGCTCCGCACGCAAGCTGTTGCCCATTGCAGCGTTCCACGGGAAGGCGCAGCCAGCTCTTGCAGACTCAACGAGTCAACCTCAAACCGCGGCATCCAGTTCCTTGGGACGCCTTGAACAAAGCACTTGGTTCTAGTGGAAACCAACGCCTGTGGTTGGACACATCGCAATTGGGCCAAACTTGGGCCCCCCTGGAACACTTAACTTGCTGCCCATTGAAAGGGAGAATGAAGAACCAAACACAAGGGCAATCAAGTAAGCTACATCTGGCAATGGTAAGGGGTTGCGAATGGGACAGTCGCTGGTCTCAAGCTGAAGTCGCTCCTGCTTCTCAGCCGCCGCCCTGCGCAATCCCTTGGCCCGATACCTCGGAAAAAGCACATAACTCAGTCCAAAGACCCTGACAAGGCTGTGGGTCAAAGCCCCGTACACCTGGTGAATATCCCAATCCCAACCAAAATAGACTGCCTATCCCAAAATGGTACCATTGGTGTTGAACCATGGCTACAAACACATCTGAGTCCCCCCCAAAAGCATCGAACTCTCAGTAATCGCCTGCTTTGGCATCCGGTGCAGGTAAGTATGTGGTTTATTGATTCGCAGAAACCTCGCGCTCTGAGTGCCTCCGGTAGTAGCCGCCTCTTGGATAGGAACATGTATGTTCCCCTGTTTCCATATGGGTGGCAGTTGCGGATGAATTTGGCGAACATGTACGTAATTATCCTAGCCTGTTCATGGAATCTGTATGGGTCTCAGACAATTTGCTCAGAACATCCTCAACATGGTTGGACCAAGTGTTCAAGTTGCCAATTAAAAGTTGATCGCAACAATTTCCGAGTGCGGTCGTGTTGTTCATGGCCCGTGCGTGGCTTGGGAAAGCGTCAGTGGCTGGCGCAACGAGCTGAAACGAGTGTTGGAAAAGGTGATCCAAGGTGGAGCAATTGCTTTAAACTTCAACCCAGTTCCCTGGTAGAAAACTGGAACCCTGCTTGCGCGTAACTTTTCAGCGGGGAACCAAACAAAAAAAGGTTGGAATCCAACAAATCCGAAATTGGTAGGAAGATGGGATTCCCCATGACTGTGACGCTTCAAAGTCCAAGGTGACTTCTTTGGTGTTATGGACACTTGCAGCCTCAAGGTACACAATATTATTGACCTTAAGTTGGGCAATCAGAAGGTTCCAATGTATTTAACCATGATAGACCATGATAGGCTTTCTGAAAAGCCCAAAACAAGCCGGAAAAATGTCAGAAAACCCTAAAGCACAAACAAAGAGCTGAGAAAACGCTAAATCTGGAACTTACAAAGCCAACTGGACGAACTAAACTTTGAACCCCAAAAAACCTTTCTGACGGATGGCGTTCAGCCAGCGTCTTTGTTTAGCTAGTCATCCAAAGCACTCCTCCAAGCTCTCCGAGCACTTGGACAAGGCCCGCGAAGAGGCGTTGATCCTGGCCTGGAGCTCCTCCACCTTCGGGCTCGGGCTCGGGTCGTCCGATGAATCGATTGAAACGTGCGACTGAGCCCTACTGTGCATGGACGAAATCCTGCACCATTTAAGAACCATGGGAAACCATTGTTGGTATTTACAGGAGAAACATCATTCCAGGGGGTTCTTAGGCGGTGCAGGAGTTTGTCCATCCACGGTATCAATCTACATGAGCTTCGGCTTAGGTGTTGGAACTGGGGTACATTCGGGTTGTGTGAAAAGTGGCTTCGACCAAGAGGGGTACATTCAGAGTTTAGTTTTATTTTCTATGGGAAACCGGGCGGCTGGTGTATAAACCATAATTGTTGGTCGAAGGCTAAAACCCACTTCTGAGCAACGAAGCATAGAGAAAAAAACCTGACAACCAGCTGGCTGAAGCCTGAAACCCTCCGTTTCTGGGGGGGTCTTGTACCCACACGCTGAAGATGCACCCAAACACGGTGAAACATGAATAGTCTGCTTTTCGCGATTCTCCGACCCAGGTATCGCAAGCAAACTTCAATAAGGCGTTGATGAGCTGGGAAGATATTCGGGTAACATAGGGGAAGCAAAAAAACGTGGTTTCCTTTTGTTTCCCCTCCAGCACCACCTGACAAAAGGGCAGCCACACAAACACACAACACACACACACATCCGTATGTGACGCTTCGCACCCGGAGTCTCCGTCCCTCCCTCACTCCAGTCCTCCTTCTTCACATGCCGCGCACCCTCACCCGCGCCCATCTCCTTGCGGCGCTGCGTTCTCCCAAACCCGGCCCAAACCCAAAGTTGACGTAGCAAGTTGCGCAGCATGGAGCGGAGATCCCATGCAAATGCCCTAACTGTTGCATGTAGTTTGCTCGCAATATCTAGGGCTTCCAAACGTTGGGCCCGCAAAGAAAATTGGCGACATGAAGGTCGCACCCGTACTGGCAAGGGAGATTCATCTCTCCCTGCGCTCTGGCTACCTTTGCAGCAACAACAGCCGCGTTCAGACCTCCACCACCCCGCACTTTCACAGCCACACACACACGAAGGAACCCACAAGCTATGCTGAACGGCCCTACCAACCCAGCGCGAACCTCTTGCTGCGATGTTGCCTGGCTATACAAGTCTCGTGGTGCAAATCAAAGTCTCGGTCGCAACTGCCACTTGCTGAAGCTCAGCAGAGCATCCATTTGCGGGTGTTGGTTTGAGGGCTTGCAACTTGAGGACTGTATGAACAATCGGCAAGGCCGAGTTCCAAACGTGCACTCGCTTGGAGATGTTGTTACCAAGCGCGCGAATATACTGTCCTTGCGACCCGCCCGTCTGCGCCACCTTCAGTCCATTGTCACAGGTGCGTGCAACTATGCAGTCTGCAAAGTCTGTGCCGTAGCATCTGAGCCGCAACCCCAAGCATGGTGAATGGCAGGTAGCGGATCGCCTGTTCTCATGGGGAACCTGCACCTCGTCAAGGAACTGAAAGCCATGTCTCATCACCCTCACCGAGTGCCCAGGTCTGGTCCTATCCTTCCAGTCTGGTCCTATCCTTCCAGGTTCATGGATGACCACGGGCCCATCTGCCCCCGCCGTGCCAGAGGTCAGGGATTCTCCGAGGGACCTTCTTCAGTGTAATTTGCCCAAGGGAGTTGCGGGGTCGGGCCCGCCATCCACGGGTGGACAAATCCGCTCCGCACCAGTTAGGGATGACGGCCTATAAATACATTGTTGATACATCACCTACAAACTGGTGCCGTGGCGTTGATGTTTGTCCATGCTTTATCCCAGCAACACAGCTGATGTGCGCAGGTTCACCCCCAGAGCATCAGATTTCGTCTAGAGCAGGATGGCTCCGGAGAACCCACTGCTGCTCCTCCGTCGCCGGATGCAAAAACAAAAACGGTGTGTTCTCCTCCTCTTCAACCCCAGGATTACCAAAAGTAGCTTCCCTCATGGAAAAAGATATAAACGAACACCCTAAAACAACTCAACAAACAAAGGTTCTACCCGACAAAAGTGCCAACATTCCGCAGGACACAAAACCTCACACAGTCCTTAGCCCCCAGGTTTAGCTCCAAGCTTGGTCTCCCCTCCAAGAACAACCGTTTTACCGTGCCGATTTGCTTAAAGACCCAAACCCCCGTTCGTAAAACCCCAGGGTACGGAAACTCCCAAAAACGACCAACCAAAAAACGGGCACCAAGTCCCAAACAAAAACACGACCCCATTGGGACCTTCGGACCACCCGGGAAAGCCGACCGACCCGACCGCCCCGGCGGGCTCGGAGCGCGTCTCCTCCTTCTTGGCCGCCAGCACCGCGGAGGACTTCTCCAGCATGGCCCTGGCCGCCTCCACCTCCTGCGGAGCGAAATCCGATCCGAGGCGAAATCCGCGCGAAGCCACCGGGGCCCAGGGATCGCCAGATTGAAACCCCGAAAGGGAGGCGAAAACACGGGAAAATGGGAGAACACAGGGGAAACCTCAAGAGAAAGAAAAAAGAAAAGGACGGAACTGGAGAGCTGGATGGTCAGACTATTTAATAGTCAAAAGAGAAGACGGCTTGGACCAACATGGGCAAAATCCCAAAACCCCTCATAAAATTGGGGCCAACTGGCTTTTGAGCAGGAGCAAAACCAAGGGACCAACTGTCCTTTTTGGGGCCAAAACAGAAAATGGTTGCCAAACTGGCAAAACCAAAAGGTGAAAGGCTGATTCGCTTTGGGCAACTATGGCAATGAGATATTGCAAGGAGAAGAAGGATCCCCGTGAAAAGCATTTGTTTGTTGGATGTATCCTTAAGGACCCTGATGAACACGCTCACCGGCAAGTGCAAACAGCAGCCAAGCTTCAATTTCCTCAGGGATTTCAACTTGATTCCTAATTTGCTTCCTTGAGGATTCAACCATTCCCAAAGGTGGCCATTTGTGGGATGGTTTCAACGGAAACCCAAAGGAAGCGACTCCCATTTTTGGGGTTCCCCTTGCGACAAACCCATGTCGGCTGACACCAAAGATCTTCCCAAGGGTCCGCGGTTCAAAGAAAACAAGTTGGCCATCTTGTGGAGCCAAACATTCAACACATGTCCCATGAACCTCACCTCCAACCGTTTTCCAGCTTTGGGCTTTCCGGCTTTCCGCAAAAAAATATCCGCAAAGAATGTGTTGAAGGTATCTCTGAGAAACCTGTACATCAGGTTGCCGAAACACGCGGAAGGAAGTTGCTCCCATTGGTCCGCATGTTGTTCAATGGGAATCCTGGGACTCATCAGGCGCAGCAAACTAGGAGTTCTCTGTCAGAACTCGAATCCTCGGCTCTTCAGAAAGTTGTGGACATCGTGCGTAGTGAACTGTCACAATAGGGTTCTGAAAACACCGGTGTTTTCCAAAACATGGCATGAGGGTTTCAGTGTGTTTTCCCACTTTCCGTGTGCTTAAGCCCTGGAAACAATAACAATATGTCCAGTAGTAATAGTTTCCCTTTAAAAGCCAAAAACAACAACAACTTCTTAATCAAATGGCAGTTGGGGAGCCCTGCCAAGGACTCCCTACTTCTTTTTCAAGAACCAGGAAACTGACATGGGCCGAAAAGGTGATGTTGATAAGGCATAGGGAAATTCCTGAGAACTGTTTGGCAGCATGCTTGGTTGCGGTTGACCCCTCTGCAAAAAATGACTTTTTGGGGGTCCAATTCCTCCGTTACCAAATAGCCACAGCACCATCTGGTGCTTTGTTTTCAATTCAGTGCACATTGCAGGCAGGTTTCCCTTGGTATCCGGTACCAAAACAACCAAAACAGGCTTTAAACACATCTGTTTCTTCATACCATTCTGTGCGCATTTCAGGCGGGCTCCCTTTTTGGTCTTTTTTGAAGGGCCGAAATGGAAGCTCCGAGCTCCCGTGCCATGGGCTCCCTCCAAGCCCATTCCGTTCGCGGGGCGGCTCGCGGCTCGCGGCTCGCTCGCGCCTTGGAGGCCGCCAGCACCGCCTCGAGGAGCTCCACGGGGGCCGCGAGGTCGGCCCCGGCCTTGGCGGAGGCCGAGGCCTCGGCCACCCGCGCCTCCGCGGCGTCCACCTCCGAATCGCTCGGGGGTCCCATCGGGTTACCCGGTTGGGTGGGGAACATCGGGTTGGTGAAGGGCTCGTAAAATGAGAACAGGTGGAGGTTTGAGTAAAAGGTTGAGGTTCGAAGGGAATTCAGGCCCTAAAAGGGAAGGCTTATGAAAGGGTTAAGGTTTAAATGGAATTCGGGGGTTCCTTAAAACTGTTGGGCTTGAGAGGTTCAGGATATTCACGGGAAGTCGGAAAACACCAAAGATGTGTTCAAAGTTGTAAAGGTCGGGTTTAGGGAATTAAGAGGAAATCATCAGGGTACACAAAAAAGGCTGGTTAGGTAGCAGGGGTTGGTTTGGTTTGGTCAAAGTAAGGACGCAAAAAAATGGTTTTGCTTTTGATTCCCTTGTAAACCAACCTGAAAAGGGCACCCTCAAAGAGAACCACCCACCAACAGGGAAACCAATCAAGTTCAAAGTTCCAAGTCCCTCTATTTTCAATTGCTCAGTGGACGCCAATCTGCTTATTTTCACATAGCCCATCCAGGTGGCACAGAACTTGGTTTGAGATTATGCTTCATGTTTAGTCAGCCCTAAAATCCAACTTTGGACGAGACCCCAGGTTCTCAAAATGATGAATGCCCAGTCGACTTGTATTTATTTTAAAGGGAGTCCAAAGAAGTGGACCGCAATTCCTTGCGATACGGTGGAAGCCCATACTGCAAAAGAAACCACAACGAATTGACTTTCACAGGGTGTCCCTTCTTCGCAGGATGTAGGACATCCTCCGCGTGATGCTAATGTGGATCCCCAAACAACTCATTTGACACTTGTAGGCGGATGTCCTTTTGGAATCGGACCCAATTGTTCCTTGTTGGGTTCCATGTTAATTTGCAGGGGAGTAGTGATTGATTCAAGGCAGCCTCTTGAAGTAGAGAAAGTGCGTGCAAATGTGACCTGCACTAAGTCCTGCCTTTCACAAACTTGTTCCTCCAACTGCGTGACTGGTGGCCGCACACATGCGCTGCCGCACTAACATTCACACTCTGGAAATCAGGGAAGCCCCAGAAATAGAAAGGGACATTCATCTTGAGTGCGCTCGTTCTACCCCTGAATTGTTTTGCAAGTCTTGGGCGTTCTCCAAACTTTGAAACAAAAGATCCCCAAGTGCAGGACCAACATCATGGTGACCTCGTCTCACCTGTGAGCTCTCCATTTTGTCGCGGACAAGCCCACCTTAGCCCAACAAATTCTGCTTGAACGCTCTTGGGTGTGGGATGGGAAATCCTCTGATGGGTGCATCTGCGTGGTGGATACACATGAGCAAAGGGGGCCCTCAAAACTCCTCAATGTAGTTGCCAGCTGAAAACAAAGCATCCATCAAACAGCAATCCTGCCAAGATGGACATCCATACGTGGCTCTGTGTGCGTGCGTGTCTGTCCGCATCCCTGTCATTCTTCTCTATCTGACCAGATCAAGTAGCTGTGCTCCCTGATGCTAGAACCCCTCATCAGCCCCCAGGCCCGCAGCTGCGATTCCATATACGAGCTATGCTTGCGGGACGGGTGAAATTCGCGTGGGGGAATGAAGGGAAACCAAGGGGAACCACAGGGGACCCAAGGGGTAAAAGGTAAAGGAAACGAAAGACAGGGACAACGAAGGAGAAAACTATGAAAGTTAAACCAGAGGGAAAACAAAGGGATAAAAGGGAAACGAAAAGAAGCCAAGGGAACCTTGGCCCTTCAAACGGCAGGATCCGGACTACTTCTGAACCTGGGGGGTCATGTGCCATGATCGTGTACCTTGCGTGAGGGGCAAGGGACACTGTGGAGGGCTGCCAGCCTCGATGGCTGTGCAAACCGCCACAAGCCGATTCTCAACTCAATTGAAAGGCCTCCATGTTTGTGGAATCCGAACGTGTGAAGGCAACTGACGGAACGCGTAAAGTGGCCAAGAACAAACGAATCAAACAAACATATCCCCCAGTTGATTGATCAAAGCTTGCCGCTGGTTGCTGCGATATGTTGATGGTGGATGCTGTCTCTCTTGGTGTCTAGGTCCTCCAGTAGAGAGGTTAGAATGAGGGTACCCTTTTTTCTGTAGTCTATATTTTAGTAGGGGAACCTTCCCCAAAAAAAGAGTAAAAGGGCACTACTGGGGGACCTAGGTGTTTTGCTGGTTAAAGGATCCATCCCGCACAAAAGGAAAGACTGCCCAGCCTCTATGGCGGCATCCTTCACGAGCTGCTCCACCTGAGCTGCCAGCAAGAGCAGGGACCTACACGAATCTAAGACGTACAAAGGGAATCCGCGGGCTTTGGGCGTTTTTAGGGTGCATGTCCCCCCACACAGCCAAGATAAAGTCTCGTTCCAACAGCTGAACGCGACGCTGAAATTCACCCCAACCACCAAAACGGGGTCGGAGTGCTTTGGTCTGCACCTAAACACTAAAGGGGTTCGCCAATTTGAGAACTCCCCAGCTTCCTGAGTGAAAGAGCCTCGACGGCCTTTGCCGATGCCAATTCCCTGTCCCGCCCTGTTGTGAATGCGTTTGTGTTTCCCCACCGGGCTAGCTGAAATGGCAGCAAAAATGAGCCATGCCCACATCTCAAACCCAGAAGCTGCCAAATGTGTCTGTGCAACTTGCCAACAAAAAGCGCATGCAGGACAATCACCGTTTCGGTTGAGCAATTTTCCTGGAGGGATTGCCGCAGGGCCTTGTGGGGTGGCGAGTCGGGTGTTGGCAGCCGGCCGGGCAACTCAAGTAAACAGGTCGGACCTCTGATCGGGTTGCGGAAGCGGCTCATACTATCTGCGACGTCCCAAAGACGCGTGCTGAGCGTACTTCCTCGCCCTCACCTGCGTTGCAATAGCTGTGCAAGATGTTGGCGATTCCTACGTACATGCATATTACTCTTGGAGTTACATCCGTTTGGCTGGCCGGTACTGTTGGCTGGCCTGTATCTATTATCATCCATCACTTTTCGGATTGGAAGTTCCTTCTGCGAATCGGGCGGGAAGACTTTTTGGGCAAACCACGTGGGAGCACTTGGCCCAACCCCAGGCTACATTAAAACACCTGTTGTCAGATTCTGTTTCATACTGAGTCAACCTGAACACCTTCAACCTCTTGAAGCGACCCCCAGAACCATCATCCTTTCGTCTTTGACATTGAATCATTGAGGGGATTCCCCTATCACAGAAAGTTGAGGGAGTTGGGGGATTCCCTTGGTACAGAAAGTGGCCAACAAGTTTCTCGAGGCAGCTTGACCCCACGCCCCAAGCTGAACGCTCGGCTCGCTCCGAGGACTCCGAGGACTCCGAGGGGCGCGGGCCAACTCCACCTGCCGCCTGCGCTCCGCCTCCTCGCGCTGCTTCAGCTCCTCGGCCACCCGCTTCTGCACCTCGGACAAATGCGTGACGTTGCAAGGGGAGCAACAATCCCAAAAAAAAAGTTAAGTGAAAGTGGATATGGAATTCAGCAAACATGTAAAATGTTTCCCAGCAACAACCATGGATACCCCTCATCCCACCAAGCAAGCGACCTGACAGGGTGGAAGCCTGGAAGACCAGATTCCTTTTCAAGGGACTTTTCAGGTTCCAGGCAAAAACGGTGGGAGGCCAGAGCGAAATAGCCTTCCTTCCCGGATCCCGGGGTCGCCTTCCGGGAAACACCCAATCGCCCCTAATTTCGACAACTCGCCGATAGAATGCCCAAGCTGGGAATGTTCGGTGGGCGATTCTTTGGGCAAGTTCTTTATCATTTGTGCTTGGGGATCCTTTGAACATCTGGGAAGGGGCACGCACGCACATGTGACCGACACATCCTAGGTCTTCCAGTAGAGAGGTTAGAACAAGGGTACCAACTTTTTCTGTAGTCTATTTTAGTAGGGGAACCGAACCCTGCCAACCAAAAAAGGTTGGTGAGGGAACCCTCCCAACCAAAAAAGAAACGGGTGAGAGGTCGGGCACCTAGCTGGGAGACCGACACATCTCCAGCGCCCAGCGCCTGGGTGAGGGTGTTCTGCATCTCGTCGTTGACGCGGTCCCGCAGCAAGCCCATGGCCTGGAAGTTGCTCGCGGCGGCGCGGTCCAGCTCGCCCTGGAGGTCCTGGGGTTGGGTTGCGTTTGTCCCTCCGTTCGTGCGCCCCGCTTTTTGTACCTATCTTTCTATCTATCGATTTATCTATCTATCAAAACGGAACACACAAACAAACACAACAAGCAAGCAAGCAAGCAAGCAAGCAAGCAAGCAAGCAAGCAAGCAAGCAAGCAAGCAAGCAAGCAACCAAGCAGGCAAGCAGGCAGGCAGGCAGACAGAAATAGAGAAAGAGACAGAGAGACAGACAGGCAGACAGTCAGACTGGCAGGCAGACACACAGACAGCCAGGCTGGCAGGCAAGTGCACAAACACGCAAAGAACGAACCAATCACTCAGCCAAACAAACAGATAGATAGATAGATTGATTGATTAACTAGATAGATAGATGGATGGATAGATAGATAGATAGACTCATTGGCTGACTGACTGACTGACTGACTGACTGACTGACTGACTGACTGACTGACTGACTGACTGACTGACTGACTGACTGACTGACTGACTGACTGACTGACTGACTGACTGACTCACTGACTGACTCACTGACTGACTCACTGACTGACTCACTGACTCACTCACTGACTCACTCACTGACTCACTGACTCACTGACTCACTGACTCACTGACTCACTCACTGACTCACTGACTCACTGACTCACTGACTCACTGACTCACTGACTCACTGACTCACTGACTCACTGACTCACTGACTCACTGACTCACTGACTCACTGACTCACTGACTCACTGACTCACTGACTCACTGACTCACTGACTCACTGACTCACTGACTCACTGACTGACTGACTGACTGACTGACTGACTCACTGAGTGACTGTTTGGTTGAGTGATTGATTGATTGATGGATTGATTGATGGATTGATTGCTTGCTTGGTACATTGATTGACTGATTGATTGGGTGATTGATTGACTGGTTAACTGGTTGATTGATTGCTTGATTGCTTGGTTGATTGATTGATTGATTGATTGATTGATTGATTGATTGATTGATTGATTGATTCATTGATTCATTGATTGATTGATTGGTTGATTGATGGATTGGATTGATTGGATTGGATTGGATTGGATTGGATTGGGTTGGATGTGATTGGATTGGATTGATTGGATTGAATTGGATTGGATTGGATTGGATTGGATTGGATTGGATTGGATTGGATTGGATTGATGGATTGGTTGATTGATTGGTTGATTGATTGATTGATTGATTGATTGATTGATTGATTCATTGATTGATTGATTTGTTGGTTGGTTGGTTGATTGATTGATTGATTGAGTGATTCAGTGATTGATTGATTGATTGATTGATTGATTGATTGATTGATTGATTGATTGATTGATTGATTGATTGATTGATTGATTGATTGATTCATTGATTGATTGATTGATTGATTGATTGATTGATTGATTGATTGAGTGATTAATTGATTGATTGATTGATTGATTGATTGATTGATTGATTGATTGATTGATTGATTGATTGATTCATTGATTGATTGATTGATTGATTGATTGATTGATTGATTGATTGATTGATGATTTCATCCATCAGATCATTCCTTCATTCGCTCACTCACTCAGTCATCCATATTGGCATGGTGCGCGTCATTCATCCATGTTCACTCAATCGATGCATTCCCTTGTTTGCTTAATGAAACTAAATTACATTCACGCCATTCGTTCCATTGATTATTTTCATGCTGCTTTGGTGTGGGGACGCGGACGGCCATATTGCGGTGTAAGCTTCGTGTAGCCCGCTCACGTGCTGCGGAAGTGGCCTTTGCCGCTCAATGCTCAAAGTGATGTACCGAATGACAGTAGCTGATGTGACCTGCGATCATGCAATCGTCGTCGTTGGATGTGTCCTTTGTCATGAGGGCCTCTCTCGCTCTCTTGGCACTGCATACTCACTTGGACATGGGCCGACGCGGAGCTTTCTTTGTTCACTCTTGGAGTGGCCCAAGTGTTACGTAAACTGACGTGACCAGCTTGTGGAACCAGTCAAAGACATCACGCACGACCACCTCTGGCAGAAAAGGGAATTACATGAGTTATCTGAATGAATAGAGTAAATTCAGAGTGCCCACAACGAGGGACGCCGTAGCGGGTTTGGATTTCAGTCTGTTTCAGGCAGAAACCAAACGGCCCAACACAGCCCGACAAACCAGCTGTGTTGAGAGGTGGGCACCAACCAAACTTCAAAACTGCCTGAAAATGCCCGATAAACACCCCGTTTGCACGGTCCCCGTTGGGGGCCGCCAATTAAATAGATTTATCAAATCAATAAATATATTATCGAATAAATGAAGGAATGAATGAGTGAATGAATGAATGAATGAATGAAGGAAGGAATGAATGATTGAATGTTTGAATGAGTGGATGAATGGAATGGAATGGAATGGAATGGAATGGAATGGAATGGAATGGAATGGAATGGCATGGAATGGAATGGTACGGATGGATGGATGGATTGATGGATGGATTCTAAATAAATGAATGGATTAATAAATAAATAGATGGGTGAATGGATACATGAATGAATAAATGAATACCTAAGTACGTAAATTAATAGAAGTGAAGGGACTGAATGAAGGAATTAACTGCAATGAAATGAAATGAATAAGTTACTAAAGTGACATGGCATGAGATGAGGTGAAATGAAAGGAATGAATGGAACGAATGGCATGAATGTAATTGAGTTTCATTACAGGAATCAAGGAATGAATGGATTGAATGAGCATGAGCGCTGCAGGGCTTTGACTTGGCGACAATTTGTGCAACTTCCGTAAAACTTGCGCATGTCAAATGCCACGTGGAAAAATGCAAGCTTCCGTGACGAGGATTTGTCCTCGCGCACCTCTCCTCATTCTGACACCTATACTGATTGTTAGCTTGAAGCGGTGGCTCGATCAGTTTTGTGTTAATTCAAGGGTGACCCCCTACTAGAAGTTGCACGTTGATTTTCCAAAGTAATATAACAGGGCTCACGTCAAACAACTATGCCCACTTGGGGCGTGCCATTTCATGTATCAAGACATCGAGGAGCACGCGCAAAAAAACAGACACTCGTCTGCATGAGGCAAGCCGGGTCCCCTCACATTGCAGCTCTGGGTGCTCACAAACTGATACAATCCATACGACCAATACACTTAAATGGACCCAGCCAAGGGGAACCCACCAAAAAAGTTAAAAACTGGGATACTCCAACTGAACCAGGGAGTCGAAGCTTGTCTTAAGTGGCCAACGGCAGACGCTCAGAAGCATTCTGCTCCCAAAGGAATATTTTCAGATTCACTATCTTGTTTAGTCGACCCTGGAATATCAGACATGTTAGAGGAGCCCCAGTTCTCCTCCCGACCCCAAACATGGTTGTGGCTCAAAATAAAAGAGCTAGGGTTACGCAAGCTTCAGTCTTTGGTTCCATTTACCAAGGTGCCATTTTGGTACATTTATTTGACCCACAGCCACATGTTGCCTTCAAGTTGTCCGGGGTGGCGTTCCGCAGCTTGGCCAGCACCTTGCGGACATTGTCCGCCGCAGCCTCCTGCCGATCCGACAAGCCGGGTGGATCCGCTGAGCAGGTCCCGTGAAACAAACTGCGGAAAGAAAAAGGGAAACACAATCCCACAACAAGTCTGAACAAGAAAGACACATATTACCCTATTTGGTTTTCCTTCTAGAAACATCAACAAAAAAACAATTCTGGGTATCTAGCACCCAGTGGATTATTTCTTGCGCAGATCGCAAGCGGCGCAGGAGCAACGGTTTGGGTTGATTTGGACAGGCTTACTTCGGGTGTTGGTTCCGCAGGTTGAGTTGGTCTCACTTCAGTTTAGCTCGGTGGGAACCGACATGTTGGCTGGTTTTCTCAAGCAACGCCCTACAACTGTTTAGAAGCCCATCTTTCAACTGGTCCTGCTTGATGTTCTGTGGAAGCGTTTCTGATTCGTCACATCCAGCTACCAGTTTGTACATTCCGTCGACAGAACTGTCCCATATTTGGCCCTGCGGGAGGTCGCACAAAGACTTGTCTGATTGAGCAAACCTGACACTGACATGCTGTCCGCAAAGCAAAAAAACAAACTCTGAATTGGCTACCGGCTAAATGAACAAATGCAGAACAGCCCCACAATTGTCAGCCTGGTTGATCACGTGAAAAGACTAGCTTGATTATGGCAAGCAGCCATGCCTCGTTGGCCCAAACAGCAATCCTTATGCAAATTGTGCACCAACTGGAAACTGTGGTTCTGTTCCGAAAGGGTCTGTTTGATCTAGGTCGTGATCGCTCCCAAAGTGGGCCCACAAATTTGAGAAATACGGGCCCCAATGGCAACACCTTTGCCTCGAACTCAGACTCCCCTTGTTCAATGGAATCCAAACTATCCAACCAACCCGAAAATTAAAACCGGGGCCGCCTCAGGCACGGCTTCGACAAAGGCGCTGCAACTCGGTGTCTCTGTTCAGCCTTTCCTCTTGACACATCTTTAAAACCTTGAAAACTTAAAACCACCCAAAGGGGGGAAAAGAAGAAAAACAACATAATGAACAACAACTGGCGGAAAACAAAACTAGGTCCTCCAGTAGAGAGGTTAGAATAAGGGTAATTACTCTGTTTTCTGCTGTCTGTTTTAGTGGGGGAACCCTCCCAACCAAAGGGCACTACTGGGGGACCTAGAAAAACATGGGGCCTCGGGTCACCGCACCGCTCCTGCTTCCGCTCTTCCTCCCGCTTCCTTCGCTCCGCCTCCCTGCGCTGCTCCTCTTCCCGGCGCCGGCGCTCCGCCTCCCGGCGCCGCTCCTCCTCCTGGCGTGCCGGCCGTTTGCCGGGGCTCGGCGCTCGCTTTTTTGGGGGGCCCCACAAAAAAGACCAAAGGGAACCCAAAAGCGAACCAAAGGGAACACATAGTAGATGTGGCCTTTTTGTTTTTTGGGCATATTGGTAGCATCCTTTTCGGAAAGCCATCTAAAGACCCAGTAGGAACGGCTGTGTGATTTGTTGTTTGTTTCTTTTTGCTTGTTTGTTGCCGGTAATGATGTGATGGTTGGAAGAATGGGAATCAATTCGCAGTTTTGTCGGAGGCTCGGTCCTTTTCTGAGGTAGGGAATCCAATCAAAAAATGCGCCTTATCTATTTGTTGTTTTGTTTTGCGCCTTCTTGGCATCAACCCCCGACGAAAAACACATGTTGGGTACTGAATTTGAGGAATCAAGGGGAGATGTTTCATTTTTTGGGGGGAGGTACTCCCGCGCAGGGAAACCGAACGGAACATACACATCCTGCATGCTTTCCCTCAGAAAACAACAACACGTAATTTTGGGAGACTATATGTTAAAACCACAAATGTTTAATTAAAAACTCCGTGAACTTGGACAGAAATGAAACTCCTAGACGTTTGTAAAAAAGTGAACTCCTTTGCTCCGTTCTCACGGGTTCGGGTGAGAAACACAAATGCACGGCCAAAGCTTTTGAACGCACAAACATCTGAAACTTGAACTCCATCGAAGCAATAAATAGAGTTCCCAGGGAATACATTGTCAGAATGCCCCTGGCTCCCGCATTTTGCAATTTGTCCTGGGGGCACTCTGGATTTCTGATTCCTTTGGGGGTCACTACCGGCCGGAGTTTGCTGCTCATCACCTTGCACGTCTGAAACTCCCGCTTCTTAGTAAAACTCCAAAGGAATGACGGAGAACGGACACATTGAAATATTCCGGAGAAGGAAGATTCAGGATGGGGTCCCCTCTCGAGTCCAAACAAGTATTGCGGCTCGTGGACGGTTTTCTGCAAGCGGAGAATTGGAGGCTTGACTTCAAAGCCAACCCCAGTGGTAGGTTGAAGAAAACAACACAGAAACAGGAAACTGACCACAAGTAGAGATTGCTTTCTTGCTTGATTGTCAACATTGGGACCGATCCGTTCAGTCAGCAAGGGATCACAACTCCATATAGCAGTCATAAAGCTATTTGGTCAAGTACTACACAAACATGTGAACACTAAACATGAACTTGCTCGTTGCTTCCAATAGAAGCAAACAATCAGTACAAACGAATTAACCAGCAGCAAATACCTTGAGTGACACTTGCCGTTCAGTGCACGCCAAATGCCTTCATAGTTCTGTTCTGAGGAGCAGTCTTCAGCCCCGCACCCCTGGAACAAAAAAAGCAAACAACAGCAAGTTCGATTTGCGGGTTTGGCAGTTTAGGGTGTGATTCCGAATGGATTCTCTATACTCACATGGGATTCTCAAATCCCCAAACTGCAAAACAAACACCAAGCAAGGGTTGCCTGACCGGTCGGCTTTATACAACAAACTAACAAGTTTCAGGGGTGGCTGCCAAAGAGGGACAGGAGAGGGAGGGCAATGGCAGTCAACATTGACATTGCTACATCTGCCAGCACCTGTGCTCGTGCTCCTGCCTATTCATGGAAACATTTGAACATTCCATCGCGAGTTTGTACAAACAAAGACATGAAAGACCAAGCGGATTTCTTCACGAATTTCATTGAGTGACGTGATGTCTGGACGTTTCCTTTCAGCAAGCCCGTTGGTTGCCACTGCCCCCTGTGCAAGATTTACTTAAGTTGGTGGAGAACCACGAAGCCCAGATGGGTGCCTGTCAAATAAATAGGAAAGGCCTCAAAGTCCATGTCTCCATGCACAATCAACTCGGAAACACGCCTGGTCGAAACAGTTTGCACACGCCTCTTCGGTCACGACGCTGGCGGTATGCAGGGATTCTTGCCCCCGGGTGTGTGTGTGTGTGTGTGTTCATTCCCTTTTTGGAGTGGTTCAAATGATTCCCTTTTTGGATACCAATTCCTCATTTACACCAGGGTGAAAGCCTGCAGCACAACTCCCTTTGAATGGCTAAGTAAAGGGACAACTCAACCCAACATGGACAATTTTCGCCATCTACTCTTGCCCAACTGTAAAAAGGCACCCAACTAGCAACGCCAAAACAATCCGCTACCGGAAACCCACCAACAGCCAACGTTCGGCTGCGCCGTGGCCTCTCTTCTCCTCCTCTCCTCCCTTTGCCTTTGCTCTTCCCTCATCCTTTGCCTTAGTTCATGCAGAGAAAGGATCACCTTTCGGTTGATCAACCTATGTCAAAAAAAGCGCAAAACGCCTTGCCAAGAAAAAAAACACCTTCTGGATGGCGTTTAAGCTGGAAGCAAACAAACTGTTCCACCAGAAGCCGACAAAATATGCTGCTTCCACTTGAATCGCTCCTCTCGCTGGCGATCGTCACGGCGCCGGTCGTGGCTTTGCGCATGAGGGTCGTCGCGGCGGCTGGGCGGGCGGTCGGAGACCGTGATCCGCAGCTTGTCGTCGATCTTGCCATCCCAGGGAACCTCACAGAGTCCCTTAAGTCTCCTGAAACATAACCCCAAAGGGCACCGATTTCAACATGCTGAAAGTCATCTTGAAAACAAAAAAGGTAAATGCAAGGACTTGGTCCTGCCTCAAAACAAATCCATCTTGGCCGCCTGCTCGAATCTACGATCCGCCGGGAAACTTACCCCAATCTTGGCCCATCCAAATGTCATACCGCTTACCCCACAACATCAAGATCTTAACCCGGGTGCAAAACTGCATGGCGCTATTTCGTTAGGCGCTTTCACTGACCAACAAGTTGCTCCAACCGTGTCCACATTACATATATGGCACCCAACTTGTGCTGCAACACTGCTAAGCTCATTGTTCATACCCCGACTGCCCGAGAGTTGTCTCGAGCCTTCCAGTTGTTGGGCGGCGGCATGACATCCGGGCGCCCGAGGTTCCCATTGTAGGCCCAGACCTACCCGAAGCGGGTTCTGCAGTGAGTCACTGCTCAACTCCGTGGTTCACCATGCTTTTATTCAGTCAAGCCTAAACTATGAAGAATTCATTGACTTTCAAATCTATGGCGATAAAAGGTGTACATTTATGTCGTTTATACATCGGCCTTTGTATGACCCTTTGAAACAAGGTGGCAGAAGCAACTGCTAGTTTCAATGGCCAATGTGGAATTCGGGAGCTGCTCGTGTGTGGCGTTCAAATCTTCAAATGATTGATGCAACGACAAGAAGACATTGGTTGCGAGCGACGACTGTGAATGCTGGTCCAAACTCCCATTGACCTCTGTGGAGGAAAAAAACAAAACAGGACACACCATGGTTGAATTTGGGCCAATATATTTGTGAATATATATATATATACACATAATCATGTATATATGTATATATATTATATATATATATTATGTGCATAACATAAAGATATGTGTGACATAGAGAGACAGAGAGAGAGAGAGAGAGAGAGAGAGAGAGAGAGAGAGACAACGATACATTGATAGACATACTGATATGAATATTTGTACATACACATTCTACAGTGCGCTTTCCTTTTTGGTCAGCAACATCGTGCAACATGTATCCAGAGATGCATCTCAAGTTTTCGCCAAACTCGAAGCCGCCTGGTCTCCTCCCACTTTGGGGCCAAACCACCAGCCGTTGAAGGCGGCTCCATCGCGGCTGTCCCAGAAGTAGATGAGCACAGTCACACCTTGGAGCAAGGAACATATTGGATGTGTCTTTTGCGAGGCAAAAGGTCCCCTTTGACAAGCCATACCGGTATTGTCCTGAGGCATTCTGTTGCCCCTCCAACAATCGTAGATGACTTGAGTCTTCCAAAACCCTCTTGTCAGCATTCAATATTCCTAACAGAGTAAACCAACAAAGACAAAGGGTACCAATTTAGGACACTCTGCTCGGCACATGCCGCGTAATGACAGCCGCCGCGACAGTGAACAGCTTAGTCAAAGTGCCAGTTTGGGGTGGCTTTAAGGCTTATAAGCTTTTCTCACGCGCACATAAGGTAATTCGACTGTCATAAATCATCAACTTCGGGTTTTCACCGCAGCAAACCTGGCTGAAATTGAGACTGGTTGAAATCCAAAGGTCAAATTCCGCCACTTTGCTGCAAATGTAAGTCATCTAAGTGCTGCTTGACACGGACAGGGACCCTTGAAAATGTCGCAATCCTGCTTGAGGGTCTCTTTCTTTTGTCCAAAACAGGAAACGTTGTGTTTCAGGGTAGTTTTGTTGGATGGTTTTAGAGGGACACCAAACGGAAAACTCGCCCTTTTGGGGGTCCTCTAAAAAAGGCGCTCAAATGCTGAGACACTGCCAGGAGGGCCCTCCTTCCGGTACACCGGCTTTCCGTGGTTGGACTCTTTGGTGTTGTACACGCCTTGGATGATGTTGGACACGGTCTCATTGCTGCACCCTGACCTCAGCGCCGCGCAGATTGCATGCGGCCGCCACGCGCGCAAGCGCGGAAAAACAAACACAACAGAAACAAACCATTGGAGGAGTCGACCCGGGTCAGCCATTCTGAAAATTGATGATTTGACAAACATAAGTAAGTGGAACAAGTGGCCAGAAGATGAAGCAACTAATCAAGAGGTGTTCATAAGTTGCTGGCAGCTTGAATAGCTAAGCGTTGTTCAGTGACGAGGTTGGTGTCATTGAGCCACAAAATGAGCCCGACCACGAATGGAGGGGACAACCTCCCACCTTTGCCCACTTCTCTCGGGACTTCCTTTTCCCAGGCCTCCAGCAGCAAGGGCAAAAAAAAGGAAGGGCCACTTGTCTGGCACGTTCACATTTCAGGGAAGCCTCCCAGAACGGAAAGCCAAAAGCAAGAAGAGCGGGTAGCGGGTTCTGTCGGCTGGGCCGCACGTGGATGGTGGGCTCCACCGCCGCCATGGACGCCGGCGGCGGCACCGCGGCCCCGCGCTCCGCGCGCGGCCGCGACGGCGGGCGCCCGAAGCGCTCGGCCCGCGGGCCGTGGGAGTCCCGAGCGTCGCGCGCGTCGCGGTAGCGGTCGCCTCGACGTCCACGGTCAAGTGGGAAACCGAAAGGGAAACACGAGCATTTGTTCGGGGAAGCCCAAAACCCGAACCAATCTTGAACCTTCGCAATGGGATTTGGTGTGTTGATTTGAGAGGATGGACGTCCTCATTCACTGGCGCTTTCACTTTGCAAAACCGGAAACGGTCCAGTCTAGGAAACCCTTTGGATTGGTGCCGTCCTTCAAATTAATTAATCCGAATGGACACTCATAGGCCGTAGGCTCCTGTTGCGGAACTGAATCCTCCGGTGGGGTGATTCGCAATAAAACATAACGGATGAAGCCATCTGTACAAAGATATCAACTTTCTATGAGGGTTTACACAAGGTGGTGCTGTTCACAGTGCATGCTGTTTCCGCGTGAAAACAGCCCGGAGCAAATGCTATTCGCTGCAAGCCAAACACAGGATCACCGAGGGTTGAATGGCAGCTGTCCTCCCCAGCGATGAGAAGAGACACGTGTCGGCCAGCGCAGGAAAAGCTTTGGACTTTGATGAACTCTGCTGGCATAGGGAAATTCACACAAACCCCGCAAGCATGAAGGGGATGACAGGCAAATCAGCACACAAAGGATCCTAGGACAATGCCCCGAGAACCCCCCAGAAAAGCCCACAGCTTGCGTGATAGACGCGACCTGTTCATGAGGCTATTTTATTTGTCAAAGACAAGAGGTCCACAGGTCCACAGTTCCACTGTACGTCTCCATCCACCAAGCCAGTTCCAAGCGTTTGATGCCTTACATTTTACCTTGAGGTTCTTTGTGTGATTGAACATGCCTGCTATTCTGCTACAACTGCCGAGCAACTCTCAAGAAGGACTCCTAAGAAACTGCCCCAATGCCGTCCGGATCCTCAAACACTTCGCCCGCTCCGCGACTGCTCCGCACGCGCCTTCTCTGCGCTCGTCCCTCCGCGGCTCGTTCCGCGGCTCGTTCCGCGGCTCGTTCCGCGGCTCGTTCCGCCGATCGTCCCGCCGCTCCCGGTCGTAGACAGGCCGATCGCTGCGGGGCGGGCCCGGGGGCGGGGGTCGGTCGCCGGGCCGGTCGCCAGGCCGGTCGCCCGGGCGGTCGCTCGGTCTGGCAAAGCCGCCTGGCCGTGGCCAGTACAAATGCGGAGAATATGTTCTGACCGCCCAAAAAAGCAAACACTTAGACATATCCATTGAAACAGTTTCTAGCGGCAATGCAATACCACACATGCCTGAAGACCTCCCAAGGGTGCCAAACATTTGAGTGTGAAATATCAGTGTGATACTTCAGTACCCTTTTGAAAAAAAGCAACAAATATCTACATGCACACTTAAGAGAAGGGGCGGGCACTTGCATATAGCAGGCTGAGACTGGACGTAGCGGTGTTTATTTTTTGTGTGTGGCGCACTTACACCAATGACGCTGTTTAAAATGTGGGGGGATCTCCAACATGGTGCGTTCTTGGGTTTCCCTTTAAAGGAAATTCATGCACACCCACTTGAGCCGAGCAAACGAGAAGCTTTCCCCCCATCTGCGAGCCTCTCGCTGGCGGGGCCGGTCGATCTCGGAAGCTGCTGGGACCTGCTTGTCGTATGCAAGTAGGGATAAGAGATACCCTCCAATTTCTCATGGTGTGCGGTTGGTGTACAGTACTTGTACCGACCGTATGGAGGAGGGGTGTGTGTGTGTGTGATCATGTACCAAGACATGATACCTGCAAAGACCTCATGGGCATAATGAATCCTCGAGTATGGCCCCCTCCCAGTGAATGATGCCCAGACCAATCTACTGAACCGGCCACAAACAGTCATGGTTCGGCCGCCCCCTCGACAGAGGGTGCTAGTGGGTGAAAGGAGAATGAGAAAGCTCCGAAATGAAACCGCAGGTCGGACACAAACAATGGGATGGCAAAGGTTTGAATGACTAAGTTTGTTCAGGGTTCTTGAATGACCATCCCACTCAAGAATACTTTATGCTCTCAAAGCGGGATGGTCCATCTCCAGGACCCTTCAAAGTCCTGAGACACTCATTGCAGGGAGATATGTGGCTTCCAACCACCAAAAGGAGCTTTGTCATGCCACGTACGGATAGTGGTGTGGTTGCTGGTATCCCTGCACATTTCAAAGCGAGCTTAAGAAACAAACTCTTACTGTTGGCACATCTACACTACTGCAGATCAACATGGAACCATGAAGGAAGAATGCTTCAGAGGAATTAGCTTTTGGGGTCCCTATTTTGGCCATGATAACTAGAAGGGGTTTAGTGAGCAACAATCAGTTAGCATGCAGAATCAATAGTTCTGCAGCAGACTTTTGGTCAGTATGGATATTAATTCTTGTTGGATCCCTTTGATTGTTGCTGATTGTTTCTCACTCCGCAAACGTCGACACATTTTGCCCTCTCCTGCCTCCTCCACGCATTTCTCCCCGGTAGGTCGGCGGGGGGAAGTGGCTTGGCGGATGCCCGCCCGGCGGGGGCGGAGGGCCCGGGGGTGGTCCTCCCCGAAAGTCTCGGTCTTTGCCTGGCGAATGGCGCTGCTGGATGGCTATGACTTCCTGGTTTGTGGGACAATCACCACTCCGCAAAAAGTGAAATCAAAGGTTAAGGATCCAACCCAATAGCATGAGGGAGGCTTGAAGTGATAATTTAACCTATGGAGCGGATTTCCATTTGAGCCAGCATTCGGAGGATAACTCTCAGGATGTCACTTTCATGTACCCAGTTATTTAAGAAGGGGGTGAATTCTTACGATGGGCTTAAATGTGATCATAGAATCATAATCTTGAAGACTTTTCGGCCCCTGATTAGAGGTGCCCGAAAGTTTAGAGAGAAGCTGAAAAAACAAAATCAAGCCAATGATCTATGTTCGCGGCTCGGAGAAACCTGAGGTGTGTTTGTTCCCCATGTCGCGACAAACAAATCCAGCCCATCTGTCACGCGTCTTAAGTGACATATGGAGCCCTCAAAATGGGCCAAGGTCTCAATGGCCAGGCTTGCACAAACTCGTTTATTCAAGGTATAGCACAGCAGTTCGCGCACGTTGAAACACACGGTTGGCCTTGTGGCCTCGGTGAAAGCCCCTGCCTTTGCCCTTGCCATGGCCGTACATGGCGCTCGGAGAAGGCGGTCCCGCGCGACCAAACAAAAACGGGCCCGTAGAGGTGGAAGGGCTGGAGGTTGTGTTCTGCGATTTGTTGTCCGCTGTTCTTGGCTGGCTCAGTGGCTGGCAAACAAGTAGATACTTCATCTACCTGCCGTGCAGTGACATGTGTCCTTAACCTGAGAACTACGGCTACGGCGAACCAGCTCAGATCAAGGATCTAACATCGCCTACGTTTCTGCCCCAGAATGGTGCTCCTGTGCAAAGGCCGGAAGCATGGCTGACCCATCTTCGAAGGGCTCTAACAGGTCCCCATGCCCAGTGCTCCCATGGAAAATTTGGCAGTAACTTTGAACAAGTGGCCCTGAGGCTACAAGCAGCTGCTCTTGACCTGCAAGTGGGTGTTTCTCATCTGGGACTGCGTTGGTTGCATTGAAACACAGGGGGTTCACCATTTTGCGAAACCCTGGGCTTGAGAGAGGGCTTCTGCATTGCTTTGGGGAGGGCGCCAGTGTCTCACGTCAGAAGTCCTGGGTACGTCTAGACGGGGGTTGCTTTCAAGCAAACATTAGAAAGTCAGCACAGTCGAGGAACGACGCACAAGCAAACGAGCGCCGAAGCATGAAACCTTGCTATCTCTGTTTGGTTGCTCTTGGGAAGTCCACCGCACATGTCAGCTTGAACACTCCACAACTGCCAACATAGAATGGTATACGTGCACCGGCTGCGGGGTCTTCCAACGTTTGAAGGCTCAAATCCGTGAAGCACGTTTCTTGGTTCAGTTTGGACAAGGAGTCTTGGACCAAAGGAGGCACTTTAGAACACGTAGCATGTCTAAGCGCTGGCGAGGCAATGGTTGGCTTGATGCGTTTGGTCTTTCCCAGCTGTCGGACATGTGGGCAAAACTGTTGATCTTGCTAGAGTGGAGGTCGCGATGTCTTACGAAAGTGTTTTCAGGCGAGTTAACTTCCCAAGTGTTGCAGTCTTTGTTGGAAGGTGCATGGTTCAACAGGGCATTTTTTGGTGCATCCCCCCGGCTGGCTCTTGGCCGGTCCTCCAAGCTCGGCTCCTCGGCTCGTCGGCTCGAAATGTGGCAGCTTCACTCGATGACTCAATCCTTGACGTTCCACCCGACACCTAGGATCAATCGGGCGAGATACCAAAGGTTGACCCAGCGACAGCGGCTGGGTCAAAGAGGGGCCACAGAAAGGAGTCGGCAATTGAGGGAAGTGCCCGTTCTACCGTGGCGGCTTCAGCCTCCAGGAAGGCGAAAACACTTCGTGCAGTGTGCAGGTGTTGTGAGCAGTACCTTGTTGGTTGAGCGACTAGAGCTGTCAGGACATCGACTGCAACAGCTTGGGAACGCATGAAAAAACAATCCTTGCGGCCGTTCACCCACACGGCAATATACAATGTAGGTAAAATGTGAGCGCTCGTGCAGAAGGGCACCCAAGCTTGTGCAGGACAAGGGCTTATCTCAGCAAAAAGGCATCCAGAGCTTCAACTTGAAAAACCGCATAACCTCACATCTTGAGGTGATTTATCTGCTTGGGGCTCCGACTCATCCTTCAGCGACCTTTTCTAGGGTTAGGTATGAAGCCGTAGGGAACGCTGGGCAGTACCCCCTTTATGTAGCTTATAAACAGATCTTGCTTGCCCATGGTTCCCAAAAACTGTCTTTGACCCGTGGAGCTTTGCAAGACGTGGCTGGAGGCAGCCTATCTCAAACGGAGTGCGAGGGGTCTGCTTTGAGGGGTATTTCATGGCAATGGCAACCAGTAAGTACTTGATTCCTGAGTGCATTGGCCAAGAAGGTTTGGGGCTTAGCGCTTAGCTATACTAAAGTGGTCTTCCCAACAAATTGAAAGTTCAGGAACACAGGGGGTGAGACGTGCGATCGCAGCGCACATGAAAAACAAATGCAACAAGCATGCGACGCGCTCGCCCCAGATTCATGCGGTCAACCAAGGCAGGGCGAACCTGGTCTTCACAAGGCAAACGCTCGCATATTTCGCACATGTGGGGTATCCCGCTTCCGGTGCATGTGCTCTTCTAGGGTTGATTGTTGCACTTTCCACGAAAACCCCGCTGATGAATCGGAAAAATCTCAGTCACGCTCGAGATCGATAAACATTCCCCATCCTATTTTCAGGAAAGTTGGGTGAGTTCCCCCTATTCTCTTTCTGAGCTTCCCCATTCCCCAGACATGGGAATATGGCGGCATAAACGGAACTTCAGGGGTCGCCGGATAAATTGAATCAACCATAATCAACCCCTTTTGCATGAGAATCCTGCTACCCAGCGATATCGCGCCTCGCGGTCGGATCTGGACGGGTCTTCTGGGAGGTCAACCTCAAGCTGAGGGGCCCACGTTCGAGCATCCTTCACTCTGTGCAAGTGACGGCGGATCCTCAACTTGGCTCAGCACTTGAGCGCGGGTGCGCCCATCTGAAATACTTTGCTAGGACCATTTGTCCAAGAAGTTGCGTCTCCCTCAAACCAAATAATTACGTTCAAAGTGTGCCATGCTACATCTATCATGGCTTCTCAGGAGATGTACATATCAACACTCCCGCCAAAAGCGGCAAGAACCGCACAAGCAGTACGCACATTTCAGACGTGTTCCTGGTTCCCGTCCCTCCCGCGACCCGACCTGCCCCAGGATCGAGTCTTCGCCGAGACGTCGCCGAACCGCCGCTGCGCAGGGCCGCTTGGAGGGAACATCATCGAGCAGCGCGGCGATGACGCGCGTCAACCTGGGCGTCTGCGGCTGACTGCTCATATCAGGTTGACTTTGTCAACGTTCGGGCCCATTTCTATGAATCATTTCCGGAATATTGCAAGCTCCCTATTGGCTTCAGATCCATTTCGCACCAGTTGGTAGGTGGCGTGTACCAGGAGTCATCGGGTTTCATCGATACCACCTGGTGCGAAGTGGATTTTGTCCAGCCAGGCAATGAACTGCCAACAGGGTAGCGTCTTAGCACAGGTGCGACTCGCTCTTTACGACCCTACCCGCATTTTGCAACGAGCAGCTCTGAGCCGTCCAGCTTCACAAGTTTCTGGACATCAGCGCCTGAGAGCACAGCGAAAGTCCCCTTGGGACCCTTGTACTAAATATGGTCGATACTCAAAAACCGGCAAAGAACCAAGGGACGGCATCTATTTGTGGTGGGGAAGTTCGCTTACTAATCTTCACTTACACGGGTTTGATTTTGGCTTAGCTTGGGTTGAGGCAACTCGCACAGGTCTCCCTCCAGCAATGGACACGATGACATCCGAATGGGAGATTAACATACAGCTAGGTTGGACTCGAGGTGCGTGATGGAAACGCTCAAACCAGTGCCACTGCAGCGAAAAGCTGCAAAACCACACCATCGCATGTGTCAGTTCACTCCTCCACTTGACCATTCACTGTATCAACATGACTTCGGGCGGGCCTGCCTGGAACTCTCGTCCCTTCTGTTCAGACTCTTTAGTCCTGTTCAGCGGACACACCAATGTCTGCAAACCAGCAAGGCAACAACGGAAAGCGACTGCCTTGGTCTGTGGCAGCATGGGTGCGAAGGGAAAGCAAAGGAAAGCGTGGGAACGCAAGGGAAGCAAAGCAAAGCAAGGGAAAGCAAGGGAAAGCAAGGCAAAGCAAGGGACAGGAAGGCAAATCACGCAAAATACATGCACTTGTCTCGCATAATGCGTACAGCATGCATACAACATGCAGGTTCAAGGTCGGCATGCCAGAGCCCGAGATGCAGACAAAGCACACAAAGATGCATGCTGCGCCAGTTTGCATGCCCAGACAAAATGCAAGCAAAAGGCAGACAACATGCAGCACCATGCATGAGATGCACCTCCCATGATGGCCTTCTCTATGCATGTTGGACACATGTTGGCACGGAAAACACTCAGCTGGGCCAGAGCAAAACAAAGCCGACAATTTCCAGAGAACTGCATGCCAAACATGCATAAAAGGCAGACCAAAAATGCAAGGCATGCGTTTCGTTCGCATTTTGCATGCATGTGAAAGGTATCCACATACAGTACCCACACTAAATGTAGACAAAATACATATCAAAGAAATGTCGCATGAAATCCCCCTCTCCCGCGTAAGGCATTCGTAACAGAAATGCAAACAACATACATACGGCATCGCCGACATCACCAGGCAGCATCTCCAGCATCACCAGCCAGCATCTCCAGCATCACCAGCCAGCATCCTGAGCAAACACCACAAACCAGCATCATCTGCGACAGGTGCTGGCCGCTAGGAAACTGCTAGAATTAGACAACCAGAAAATATACCCTCAGACTGGTCTCCCACCATCTGCGTGCTGCTAGGCACCCCTCGTCCTCCCCAAATACACAATAGACTATCAATTCTGCGACTTGCTTTAAACCACCTGACAGGATGATACTCAGAAATTGCAAGAAGGCCCTCCGCCCCATCTGGGGGCCCAAGCGACGTCTTGGCTCATGGCCAGTGAGCGCCCAGAGACCGATGGCGCCCAACTGCCATAGGTCAACTGCAAAGAAGTCCAACGCCTGCGCCGAAGGTACCCCCGGTCGATGTACCTCAAATTCATTCGAGTCGGATGCTTGGCGCATGGGATCTGCATGTTTTTCAGTTTGTTTGCTTGGATGTGGTTAATTGGAGCATCCAATGCATTTCTGTGCAAATGATATACAATGAGTCGAAACCCCTGAAACACAGCATGCCCAAGTAAGAACCTACAGCATGGTGAAGTCGTTCTCACCACATGTGAGCTCGCCGTTAACAAAAACAAAAAAAATGCAAATAGGATACGAACCCAACTGTCCTCCCGCCGGAATTAGAGCAGCACTCCAAACAATGACTAACACAAGCTGAAGAATCTGGAAAACCTCGGATCTCTGGAGACTTCGCGCATCGTTGCCACTGTTGCTTCAGCAAATCAGCAAGTGCAGGTGGCAATTCGGGCGAGAAACACAGACGTGCAAGTACACCTGTGAACGCAGCAAGTATACCATCACACCTCTGTGGCACATCACCAATTTGCTCGTTGATCACGC